CCTGGTTGGCCGGGACAGCTCAGGCGTCCAGATCTGGACGCTTGGACTTGGACGCTTTGACTTGGACGCCTTGGATTCGTTCCTATAAATACAGCACGATTCTTCTCATTTTTACCATCCATTCTCAACCCAATTTCGGGTTCCCCTCTCTCAATTGCTTAAAATACTTTGTATATTAGTTTTAGTAGTAGTTTTGAAGTTTTTTCGGAGGTTTTGACTCCCGATCCGTTCTGTTCCGCTTGTACGGAAGCCGTAAGTTTTCTTATTTAATAAAATGTTGTTTTAATTTATGTTTGCATAGTATGAGTTAGGGTCCGAATCTCTGGGACCGGACTAGTTTGGTTGTTTATTTTTGATGTTAAATTAATGTTGGAATGGTTAATCTATTGTTCTTGCCTTATTTAGTTAATTAACGTTGAAAGATTTAATTGGCCATTTATTGAGAAAATATTGTATGCCAAAAGGCTATGATATTCAAGTGCAACGGATTAAGTACAAATCTAGAAATGGATGAGTAGTAATAGAAATATTATTATTCCAATTGTTAATTTAATATGATAAAATAGATCCAAATGATGTTATGACCCTAGGTCCAAATCTATACTTGTACTATGTGACCTTTATTTATTATTTTTACTCTGCTCCCTTTTTATAATCGTTTCGAGAAGACTTTCATAAACCAATCATAATCTTCGCCTAGTTAGAGTAATTAAACTAATTCCCTTCGTCCACTCCTCGAGAGATACGACACTCGAAGAGAAAACTAACCCTTTGTTGGGAAGGTTTACTATCCGAAAAACTACAATTGTCAAATGGCGCCGTTGCCGGGGAGTGGCACGGCATTAGTTTAATTTCTTCTGATTAGCTTGGGTGAAGATTGGTTAGAACGATCTTCTCACTTATTTTTCACCAGCCACCCGTAATAATTATTATGGATAACTCCAGTGGTTATTACGGCCCGCCTTCTTACTACGAATCACCTAACCGCCCTCCGTTTCAAACCCATCCACCTTACCACCCGCATCAGAACCCATACGATGATGACTACCAAGTCAACAATGGGTCTGACTACTATCCCTACCATGATGAACCAACATATGATACCCCGTCTAGGAACTTTGGATATTCTCCATACCAAGATTCTGATGGGGATAATTATTATGAACCTCATGGCGACCAAGATGACTATGACCACAATGGGCCTATGTATGACAATCAACCTGATCCACTCGTCGAAGAAATCCTATGATTAGAACAGAAAATCTTCTATTTTGATGAAGTTTTATTTGCTGAAGGCTTCTGGTACGAACCACCTTACTGCCGTGACTACACCTTGTTTGCTGAAGAACAAATTGAAGCAAACAAGGTGGCAATTCGAGAAAGAGCAAAACTTCTTGAATCAGTCCGGAAGGAAAAGGAGTTCAAAAGGAGATTACACGAAGGATCAGAATTGATGCAGAAAATGCTCGATGACTTCTAAAGAGAGAGACTAGAAGCTGAGGCTAAAGCTGATAAATTAGTCAATGATCTCTGCAGGGCTGTTGAACTTAAACGCTCCCTCCAATCTCAAGATCAAATGAGGGAGATTAATGTTCAAAAAGAGGCTCTAGAACCCAAGACCAACCCTGAACCATCCAACCATCAGGTTCGAGTTCTAGAAGATTCGCCCAGACCAACACTACTACAGAAACCCAAGAGCATAACAACTCTCGCTAGGGCTACTGTGGTGATGTCACCTGAATCCCTGCCTAGCCAAGTCCCAACCGGCATAGTCGTACATGAGGTGGAACCAACTGAGGGACCTGACTCAGAACCACCTATTCAAAAACAGAAGGAGGAGGAAGTTTTGCCTATGGCAATAAACGACCATATCCTTAATTGTGTTGAAGACACACCTCCAGAGGAACCTGTTCTGGAGGAGATAGACCCCACTACCTACCCCCAAGATTCCAATGTTCAAGAGTCTAAGGAGGAATCTATAGACAAAGAAATACCTAGCACAGAGGAACCAATAACGTCTATAGATAATCATGCTTCATCAGAAGACTTAGACCAAACTTTCTTTGACTCCCTACTTGACGGGTGTGACTTTGTCTGCCCGAAGGATAGTTGGAGCCAATAGAGTTGGGATGAACTTCTGGTAAGTGACACTGAAGACTCATCCATGGGGGAAATCACAGTCGTAATCATCAAACCACAAATGTAGTTTTTCGGGTAGTAAACCTTCCCAATAAAGGGTTAGTTTTCTCTCCGAGTGTCGTGTCTCTCGAGGAGTGGACGAAGGGAATTAGTTTAATTACTCTAACTAGGCGAAGATAAGGATTGGTTTATGAAAGTCTTCTCGGAACGATTATAAAAGGAGCAGAGTAAAAATAATAAATTAAGTTTACATAGTATAAGTATAGATCTGGACCTAGGGTCAGGACATCATTTGGATCTATTTTATCATATTAAATTAACAATTGGAATAATAATATTTCTATTACTACTCATCCATTTCTAGATTTGTACTTAATCCGTTGCTCTTGGATATCGTAGCCTTTTGGCATACAATATTTTCTCAATAAATAGCTAATTAAATCTTTCGAGAATAATTAACTAAATAAGGCATGAACAATAGATTAACCATTCCAACATTAATTTAACATAAAAAACAACCAAACTAGTCTGGACCCAGAGATCCGGACCCTAACTCATACTATGCGAAAATGAATTAAAACAGCATTTTATTAAATAAAGAAAACTTACAATCTCCATAAAGCGGAACAGAATAGATCTGGAGTCAAAACCTCCGAAAATACTTCAAACTAACTACTACAACTAATATACAAGCTAAAATGGAGAGGGGATGTGTAAATCCCGAAGTTGGGATGGAATGGGATGATAAAAATGAGAGAGATCGCGCTGTATTTATAGGAACGGAGCCAAGGCGTCCAAGTCTTAGCGTCCAAGTCCAAGCGTCCAGATCTGGACGCCTGAGCTGTCCCGGCCAACCAGATTTTGCCACGTGTCATTCTTGGGCTGCAATTAAGCCAAAGTGTCCAACTCCCAAGCGTCCAAGTTGGACGCCTTGAGGCCTTGGTCCATTGGGTTTCGCGGCTGTTTCGTGATTTTGGCCCAATTTCGCTCCGTTTTGGTCCCGAACACTGTTCTTGACCTCCCGGAAGCTCGTTCAAGCCCGAATCTTGATCCCTTGATGATTTATTCCCTTTTTCCCAAGTATTTGAACATAAAATGGATGATTTATGATAATTTAATTTGGAATCCCTTTTCATGACTCTTAGAACGAAAATGAGAGTTTTATTCATTGAAAACACATTTTATGAGATGATTAAATACTATTTACGTGCAATAACGTTTAGAATATGATGTAAATGATAAGAACAAAACGGACTTATCAAATTCCTCACACTTAAACGTTGCTTGCCCTCAAGCAACAAATTGAATAATTACAAGTATAAAGGCAAATTAATAATTGCAGGGGGAATTTTAAGCTACATATTATGAAGGAAAGAAGAAATAAGATAGTCATCAACCTTTTTGTTAAGAAGAAATGAACCTTTAGATTTTCACCCATATTGTTAGAAATGTAACGGAATTTTGTCAAACCAATATTTTTACACCAACCTAAACAACCAAAATTTTCCAAACTTTCCTTGGGATAACTACAGTTATAAGAGTACTTTAAAGATCAAATAATTTTTTAATGGCTAAATTGGAAAACATGTTCTTGCAAAAGTATTAGTCAAAGTGTAAGGGTTTAATTTTCTTTGGCATAACTTTGTCATGTTGACACGAGAAAAATTTGTAACCTCATCCCGTGACATAGAACCACGAGCTTTTTTGATATTCACTCTAGAAAGTCTCATCACACGACATAGAACCGCATTCTTTTTGACTCTAACACTCAAAAGGCCTCATCACGCAATATAGAACCACATGCTTTTCGGCATACTCACCACGCCTCATCAGTTGACCTAGAACCAACTACTTTTTGGCTAAAACAAGAATCTCGGTCTCACCACAGTATGCTTTGAAACATCACCCTTATACTTTGAAAATAACTCTTTTTAAGAAACAACAAATACTCATAAGAGCATCAGCAAAAAGATTTTCAATAAAGGACTTAAAAATTAATTGATCTAAAAAAAACTCTTAATAAATTGTGAATTTATCCCAAATCATTTTAGAAAACATTCCCAAAAGGTTAGAGTAAAAATAAAAGTTTGACAAAAATTTTAAAAATTTCCAATTTCCACGGGTGATAACTAAAGAGTAATTAATCAAACAAATAAAATTGATGACTATTTTATAAAATCTTTTCCTAACAATATATAGACAAAACAATTCTTAAAAAGATCATTTCAACCACGAGCTCTTACCTCCTCACACTTAAACGGAACCATGCCCTCGTGGTTAAAAGTGTTTCAGAATTAGAGTTAATGGTTGAAATGTCCACATGCAATTACTAAGTTATCTCAATACTTACAAGATTCAACGATGGAGATTGAAATAATAGATAACCATAACATGAAAATATGAAATAATGAATAAAATATTCTCAAAATGGTTTTAAGAGTCATGTTGTGAAATTCCAAAATAAAAATCATCAAGCATCCAAATCATGTTCAAAATAGTAGAGAAAAAGAGACTTTACTGATAAAGTCAATATTCTCTCAGTAGCCAACTTCAGCCAGGACTGTTGGATCAAGAAGCCTCAAAGGTTGCCGAAACCTTGTGTTTTCCCCAGGTGAGACCTCTTCTTCGCTCCCACTGTAAGGTATGCCCTACAATTCTCTCATCTGCAAAAGCAAAGACAACAAACAAAATAACTCTTGCCCCCAAAACTGGTGCGGCAAGCAAAAACCTCAAAAACTAACAAATAAAACTATTGAATTTATTTAATTATTTAGTTATTTGAATGACGGGTTGCCTCCCGTTAAGCGCTTCTTTAACGTCCGTAGCTTGACGCTCACCCACTTTTTCCGTGACTTTCCGATCCGAGAGTCATAAAGTTTGGCCCTTCTAACTCTCTTCTGATGCCACCCTGTTTGAATTTTTGCTCAGTCAAGGTCCAGGATCCTTGACTCATCCCTGCGGCTTGGTGGCAACATGATATATGGAGGAGACTTTGTATAGGTGGGTGGGGGCGGAAGTCTCCTCAATAGATCCACATCATTAGCCTTGATTGCGAAATTGATTTCTTCTTTACCTTCAATTGGCTGACTATCCATTTGTGGTTTGATGATTATGATCGTACCCTCCCCCAAGGAAGAGTCTTCGGTGTCACTTACCAGAAGTTCATCCCAACTCTTTTGACTCCAACTATCTTTCGGGCAGACAAAGTCACACCCGTCAAGTAGGGAGTCAAAGAAAGTTTGGTCTAAGTCTTCTGATGAAGCATGATTATCTATAGACGTTATTGGTTCCTCTGTGCTAGGAATTTCTTTGTCTATAGATTCCTCCTCAGACTCTTGAACGTTGGAATCTTGGGGGTAGGTAGTGGGCTCTATCTCCTCCAAAACAGGTTTCTCTAGAGGTGTGTCTTCAACACAATTAAGGATATGGTCGTTTATTGCCATAGGCAAAACTTCCTCCTCCTTCTGTTCTTGAATAAGCATAGGTGGTTCTGAGTCAGGTTCCTCAGTTGGTTCCACCTCATGTACGACTGTGCCGGTTAAGACTTGGCTTGGAGGGTATTCGGGTAACATCACCACAGTAGCCCCAGCAAGAGTTGTTATGCTCTCGGGTTTCTGTGATGGTGTAGAACTTGGTGAATCTTCTAGAACTAGCACCTCCAATTGTGGATCTTGAGATTGGAAGGAGCGTTTAAGCTCAATAGCCTTACAGAGATCATTGACTAATTTATCAGCTTTAGCTTCGGCTTCTAGTCTCTCTCTTTGGAAGTCGTCCAGCATTTTCTGCATCAATTCTGATCCTTCGCATAATCTCCGTTCGAACTCCTTTTCCTTCCGGAGTGATTCAAGAAGTTTTGCTCTTTCTCAAATTGCCACCTTGTTTGCTTCAATTTGTTCTTCAGCAAACAAAGTGTAGCCACGGCAGTAGGGTGGTTCGTACCAGGAGCCTTCAGCAAATAAGACCTCGTCGAAATAGAAAATTTTCTGTTCTAATCTTATGATTTCTTCGACGAGTGGATCAGGTTGATCGTCGTACATAGGCCCATATTGGTCATAGTCATTGTTATCTCCATGAGGTTCATAATAATTATCCCCATCAGTGTCTTGATATGGAAAATATTCAAAGTTCCTAGACGGGGTATCATATGGAGGTTCCTCACGGTGGGGATAGTAGTCAGACCCATTGTTGACTTGGTGGTCATCATCATATGGGTACGGATGTGGGTGATAAGGTTGATGGGTTTGAAACGGAGGGCGATTGGGTGATTGGTAGAAAGAAGGTGGGCCGTAATAACTACATGAGTTATCCATAATAATTATTACGGGTGGCTGGTGAAAAAGAAGTGAGAAGATCGTTCTACCCAATCTTCACCCAAGCTAATCAGAAGAAATTAAACTAATGCCGTGCCACTCCCCGGCAACGGCGCCATTTGACAATTGTAGTTTTTCGGGTAGTAAACCTTCCCAGTAAAGGGTTAGTTTTCTCTCCAAGTGTCGTGTCTCTCAAGGAGTGGACGAAGGGAATTAGTTTAATTACTCTAACTAGGCGAAGATTAGGTTTGGTTTATGAAAGTCTTCTCGGAACGATTATAAAAGGAGCAGAGTAAAAATAATAAATTAAGTTTACATAGTATAAGTATAGATCTAGACCTAGGGTCAGGACATCATTTGGATCTATTTTATCATATTAAATTAACAATTGGAATAATAATATTTCTATTACTACTCATCCATTTCTAGATTTGTACTTAATCCGTTGCTCTTGGATATCGTAGCCTTTTGGCATACAATATTTTCTCAATAAATAGCTAATTAAATCCTTCGAGAATAATTAACTAAATAAGGCAAGAACAATAGATTAACCATTCCAACATTAATTTAACATAATAAACAACCAAACTAGTCCGGACCCAGAGATCCGGACCCTAACTCATACTATGCGAACATGAATTAAAACAGCATTTTATTAAATAAAGAAAACTTACAATCTCCGTAAACTGGAACAGAATAGATCTAGAGTCAAAACCTCCGAAAATACTTCAAACTAACTACTACAACTAATATACAAACAAAAATGGAGAGGGGATGTGTAAATCCCGAAGTTGGGATGGAATGGGATGATAAAAATGAGAGAGATCGCGCTGTATTTATAGGAACGAAGCCAAGGCGTCCAAGTCAAAGCGTCCAAGTCCAAGCGTCCAGATCTGGACGCCTGAGCTGTCCCGGCCAACCAGATTTTGCCACATGTCATTCTTGGGCTGCAATTAAGCCAAAGCGTCCAACTCCCAAGCGTCCAACTTGGCCAAGCGTCCAAGTTGGACGCCTTGAGGCCTTGGTCCGTTGGGCTTCGCGGCTGTTTCGTGATTTTGGCCCAATTTCGCTCCGTGTTGGTCCCGAACACTGTTTTTGACCTCCCGGAAGCTCGTTCAAGCCCGAATCTTGATCCCTTGATGATTTATTCCCTTTTTCTCAAGTATTTGAACAGAAAATGGATGATTTATGATAACTTCATGTGGAATCCCTTTTCATGACTCTTAGAACGAAAATGAGAGTTTTATTCATTGAAAACACATTTTATGAGATGATTAAATACTAGAGTAATTTACCTAAATAGGACTAAAACATAATGACTTTCCCGATATATGACCATATGTTTTTATTTCCCAATTTAGGACCTTTGGTCATTATCATGTAGTCATTATTCAACTAAATGTCCATCATTACTGGACATTATTCCTTCCACAAGGTCATTATTAAGTCCTATTTAGGAAATAAAAAAGTTTAAATCTTACATTAGCAAAGTCATTATGTTTTAGTCCTATTTAGTGCAAATTTGACTAAATACTATTTATGTGCAATAACGTTTAGAATATGATGTAAATGATAAGAACAAAACGGACTTATCATGGATCAACTGAGGAGACTTCCGCCACCACCCACCTATCTAGAGTCTCCTCCTTTTATCCTGTTGCCACCAAGCCGCAGGGATGAGTCAAGGATCCTGGACCTTGACCGAGCAACAAATCAAACAAGGTGGCACCAGAAAAGAGTCAGAAGGGCCAAACTTTATGACTCTCGGATTGGGAAGTCGCGGAAAAAGTGGGTGAGCGTCGAGCTACGGACTTTAAAGAAGCGCTTAACGGGAGGCAACCCGTTATTCAAATAACTAAAATAATTAAATAAATTCAATAGTTTTATTTGTTAGTTTTTGAGGTTTTGCTTGCCGCACCAGTTTTGGGGGCAAGATTTATTTTGTTTGTTGTCTTTGCTTTTGCTTTTGCAGATGAGAGAATTGTAGAGCATACCTTACAGTGGGAGCGAAGAAGAGGTCTCACCTGGGGAAAACACAAGGTTTCTGCAACCTTCGAGGCTTCTTGATCCAACAGTCCTGGTTCAAGTTGGCTACTGAGAGAATATTGACTTCCTCAGTAAAGTCTCTTTTTCTCTACTATTTTGAAAATGATTTGGATGGTTGATGATTTTTATTATGGAATTTCACAATTTGACTTTTAAAACCATTGTGAGAATATTTTATGCATTATTTCATATTTTCATGTTATGGTTATCTATTATTTCAATATTCATCGTTGAATCTTGTAAGTATTGAGATAACTTAGTAATTGCATGTGAGCATTTCAACCATTAACTCCAATTCCAAAATACTATTAACCACGAGGGCGTGGTTCCGTTTAAGTGTGAGGAGGTAAGAGTTCGTGGTTGAAATGATCTTTTTAGGAATTGTTTTGTCTATATATTTGTAGGAAAAGATTTTTTATAGAATAGTCATCAATTTTAATTGTTTGATTAATTAATCTTTAGTTATCACCCNTTCTTGTTTTAGCCAAAAAGCAGTTGGTTCTAGGTCAACTGATGAGGCGTGGTGAGTATGCCGAAAAGCACGTGGTTCTATATTGCGTGATGAGGCCTTTTGAGCGTTAGAGTCAAAAAGCATGCGGTTCTATGTCGTGTGATGAGACTTTCCAGAGTGAATATCCAAAAAGCTCGTGGTTCCATGTCACGGGATGAGGTTATAATTTTTCTCGTGTCAACATGACAAAGTTATGCCAAAGAAAATTAAACCCTTACACTTTGACAAATACTTTTGCAAGAACATGTTTTCCAATTTAGTCATAAAAAATTTATTTGATCTTTAAAGTACTCTTACAAATGTAGTTATCCCAAAGAAAGTTTGGAAAATTTTGGTTGGTTAGGTTGGTGTAAAAATATTGGTTTGACAAAAAAAATTCTTTTACATTTCTAACAATATGGGTGAGAATCTAAAGGTTCATTTCTTCTTAGCAAAAAAGGTTGATGACTATCTTATTTCTTCTTTCCTTCATAATATGTAGCTTAAACCTTGCCTCTGCAATTATTAATTTGTCTTTGTACCTGTAATTATTCAATTTGTTGCTTGAGGGCAAGCAACGTTTAAGTGTGAGGAATTTGATAAGTCCGTTTCGTTCTTATCATTTACATCATATTCTAAACGTTAATGCACGTAAATAATATTTAATCATCTCATAAAATGTGATTTTAATGGATAAAACTCTCATTTTCGTTCTAAGAGTCATAAAAAGGGATTCCACATGAAATCATCATAAATTATCCGTTTTATGTTCAAATGATTTAGAAAAAGGGAATATGACATCAATGGATCAAGATTCGGGCTTGAACGAGCTTCCGGGAAGATAAAATCGACGTTCGGGCCGAAAACCAGCAGAATTGGGCCAAGATCTCGCATCAGCCGCGAAGCCCAAACAGACCAGGGCCTACGGCGTCCAACTTGGACGCTTGACCAAGTTGGACGCTTGGGAGTTGGACGCTTTGGCTAGATTGCAGATCAAGGAAGACACGTGGCAAAACCTAGTTGGCCGGGACAGCTCAGGCGTCCATATCTGGACGCTTGGACTTGGACGCTTTGACTTGGACGCCTTGGATTCGTTCCTATAAATACATCACGATTCTTCTCATTTTTACCATCCATTCTCAACCCAATATCGGGTTCCTCTCTCTCAATTGCTTAAAATACTTTGTATATTAGTTTTAGGGGCTGTTTGGCAACTTCTGAATCGGTAAGTGCTGAACCAGTAAGAGGTCTGAACCATTAAGTGCTGAACCAGTAAGAGGTCTGAACCATTAAGAGCTAGTATATTGCTTAACTATTCAGAGGCAAATGTTTGATCAATTCAGATAAGAGGTCTTAACCATTCAGACTCTGTATAATACTTAATCATTCAGAGGTAAATCTCTTAACCATTCAGACATCTGAACCATTAAGAGTTAGGGTCCGGATCTCTGGGTCCGGATTAGTTTGGTTGTTTATTTTTGATGTTAAATTAATGTTGGAATGGTTAATATATTGTTCTTGCCTTATTTAGTTAATTAACGTCGAAAGATTTAATTGGCCATTTATTGAGAAAATATTGTATGCCAAAAGGCTATGATATTCAAGTGCAACGGATTAAGTACAAATCTAGAAATGGATGAGTAGTAATAGAAATATTATTATTCCAATTGTTAATTTAATATGATAAAATAGATCCAAATGATGTTCAGACCCTAGGTCCAGATCTATACTTGTACTATGTGACCTTTATTCATTATTTTTACTCTGCTCCCTTTTTATAATCGTTTCGAGAAGACTTTCATAAACCAATCATAATCTTCGCCTAGTTAGAGTAATTAAACTAATTCCCTTCGTCCACTCCTCGAGAGATACGACACTCGGAGAGGAAACTAACCCTTTGTTGGGAAGGTTTACTACCCGAAAAACTACAATTGTCAGTTACCCTCAGTTTTAACTAGTTTAATTTTTTGAAGGCATGGGACTCGGCAGTAGCATACCCAAGTACTGCTTCTATACCCCTTTATCTTTTAAGCATTACTCCCTACTACGGAGTATTTCCTTTGTTGATTAGCGAGCAAAGGGATGAGATACTTACGCCCCGTTTAGCACGCGAACTGGAATTGAAGACTACAATTCATGT